AATTTTAAATTTTACTTTTTTGCTGCATTCATAAACTTAAAGAAGTAAGACAATAGATGATACTAAACTTTCGGACAGAGCATAAGAGAGCTCTTTATAAGACACAGATGACGTGTTTCGTCTCTGACCTAAGTCGAAAGCAGTCAAACCTCTATTAAGCATGATATTTTGACAATACAATTTCTTCCGAAATTATACAGCCATTGTGAATAAAGACATGAGAATAGAAATACTAAGCACAATGTGAAAAAGTGACTCTAATGCAGAAACAATATGTTTCAATATCACTACTGGATAAATATTCGGTATTCTATTTTTACTTATTGGGCAGATGTTTTTATTTAAATTTAATTTGTGATTAATCTTACTAATTAACTGAATATTATTCGATGAAATAATTGAAATACATTACGTTTTCGTGTTAATACGGAGTTGAAGGCTTTCAAATCGAAACACAAGTTCACAAACGTATAGCAGAAACGTATTGTTAAGCAGAAGTGTTCATTGCATTAATGTCGTTAACTAATCTATTCTGGTATTGTATCAAAATGATTGCGTCGTTTCCACTTATAAGGATCTTATGTTGCTGCTCGTCCATTATTACGTTTCTCTATTCGCTTATATTGTTTGCAGGATGCGTGGTATTACTGAAATACAACAAAGAGTAATATAATCGAGTATTATTTTATAATCTCTGTAGTATTATCAGTTTATTTTCGATTATAGTTTCATTTGTGCAAATTTTATCTATAGAAATATGGTTATATTTTTTTCTGATAGAAATAAAACAATAATTTTAGAACGTGTAAATTAATTTCAGTTCGAATATAATTTTACGAAGTTATCAATATTTTAAAACTAATAACAGAGGCGTTACATTATTTTTAAAATTTATTACTACTGAGTCAGCGAATAAAGCATAGCTGGAGTATAAATCATGTCAATATCTATATATATATAAATGGACATGTATGTCCGTATATTTCACTTTTCCGCAAAAACTACACATCGCACGTGGATGGTGTTTGTATGTGGTGGTAGCCCCAAGTCTCCATTCGTGCATAGGGGTTGTTGCGTCTCGATAGCTATAAGGGTGCGGGAGATATGAGGCTGAAAGTAGTTGAAAGTGGCTTTCTATTTCGAATGTTTTGTTCGAATTTGTTCGAATTAAATTCGAACATAAAATTCGAATATTGGTTCGATTATAGAACGATTGTAAACGTTCCAGAAAATTGATCAAATTGAAAATAGTTTGTTTGACTGGATGTAAAAATTCTCTAATTAGTCTGGAAACGGGGGACCTAATTCTTGCATTTCGCGAAAACGGATAAGTTTGGCTATAATGTAATTATCGCCAATCTTTGCCCAGCGAAGCGGGTCCTTGCAGCTAGTTCCTGCATAAAATTGCTACGAATTTTACTCTACAATGCAGTGAAAAATGAATCATTTACAGGCACCACATTCAATGTGCAGTGTTATTAGAAATTCGGTTATTTAACAATAATTTAATATTAACAAAATATTTTCTCAAAAATTATAGCAATGAAGAGTGTCGTCATAAAATCGAAAAATTATTTAAAATATTAAATAGTAATAATAAATAAATAAAAATATTATTTAGTGTAGTCATGTCTTAATTAAAATTATTGGTTCAATTATGTTTATATGCTTCAAAAAAGTAAATTAATAGTTTATACAATAATGAAAGAATAGGTTTAGAATATATCTTCCAAAAAAGAGAAATCGAAGAAATTTGTTTACAAAACGTTATATAGACCTATAAATATAAATGCAAATAATAAAACAAAAACTTGTAGATCTTCCTCTTTTTAGAGTAACCTCAAAATTTCAGTCTGCCGTACTCATAATAAATGTTTCGAGTGTGGAAGTTCATATACAATGCCATGCTTTCTCCACTGTAAGTTTCTACTGAAGACTTTTACTAAATGTATTGTTTGCCATCAGCCATATACAGTTTATTAGAGCATACTGCATATATTTTCAATCGGGTTTGACTCTGGAGATTGAGGTGAAGGATTCAACAGTTAAACTTGCTTTTGCCTAGCCAATATTTTTGGTTTTTTATGAATGGACAGGTGTATTGTCTTGTATAAAATAAAACTTTCTGCCTTCTAATTTTTTGTTAATTTAAAAGTAAAGCAATTTCGATCATCTGTTGATACCTTTCTGAATCCATTCGTCTATTTATAAATTCAATAGGTGTCTCTTCTTGCAAGATATGGCACCCCACACAATAATGAAACCACCACCCATCTGTCGTGGCTACAAAATCTTTTCTTCTTTGTGCAAATTATTAAAATAATTGTTCAGACCATTTGGGTCATCTAAACCATTCACCTTGAACTTTATTTATTTGAAAAAAGTTCAAAGTTCAACGTTCAACTTTATTTATATGAAAAAAGTTCAACGTGTCATTCTGTATCCCAGGACATAATCTCATGCATAAATAAATTTTGCAGTGTTATGTTTTTTAGGTAGAGAGGTTGTCTTTTCAATTACTTTTTTTTAAAGTCGTCTTGGTTATTTTATTACTTCATGAACAGTATACGGATAAACTTTTACTCTATCCGATTCACATCATTTGATGTTGATGTCACACTGTTGCTTGTAACTTTCAAAATTCGCCTCTTTTTTCTTGTATTAAACTTGGACGGTCTTTCCACCAATGTTTTTCGAATTGTATTTGTCACCTATTCAATATAGTTATACACAACAGTGTTACTCTTTTATATTTGATCAGCTGCAGCATGATAGTTTTGCAACTGTGGTCATAAAATATCGATTTGTCCTTGTTATTTTTCTGTTGGTTTTTCACCTTTTCCCGTGTTTAACAAATGGTTTTTGTACACAAATATAGGCAGATATATTTGTACATGTACATGTCCTTAATTATTTACACTTACAAAAATATTTGCACTTATTTTTTCAGTTGTAACCAAAGTTTTGTCAACATAAATCACTTGGTTTTATACTTTTTGAAAGAAATACATTCATTCGTTCATTTCTTTATTGCTATACAAATATTGTACAGACCGGCCCCGCGTTGAGCATTACTGGTTATACAGATTAGGTATTACAGTAATCAAGATAAAATTTTGTTAGGTGTACAGAAATGATAAAAGCGTATTCATATAATAGACAAAAGTAAATCAATGAATACATAAAATAAGATAAAAAGAAATATTGTATTCGAATGTAAAATGTATTCGAACAATACCTTTTCATTATTGTACAAACTACATATGCTTTAAAAAAGTCAATTAAGGTTAACGTTACCTTAGGTTCCAAAATGGCGACGATTCCGGTAATCTCCAAACGGAGACTTGCGCGTTACCGGCAAAACAGGGAGCTATTTCGTAATAATGTGACGTGGTGCGAAATTTTAATCGACGGGACGTGTGATGTTGTGACGAACAAATATGCAAATTTGTAAGTTTTGACGTCGTGTCTGTAGTTTACCGAAAAATTATGCAAATCGTCAGTAGTCGTTCGAAATCGACGATGTTGCGACGAAGGCGTATATTGAAATAACAATTGCTATCTTAATTTCGATAATTACTTTTCAAATTGCATTTTTTTTTGTAATTATATTATTTTGAAATTTTAGTAATTTATAAGTTTTTAAATTTTTTTTTTAGTTTTTTTTTGCTAATTCTTTGAAAATGAATTTTGCCGATTTAAATTCTGACGATTTTCGGTCGAGTTGTACCGCGCGTAATTTCTATAAGTGAATGGAAAACGAATTTTCGGAGTCTGGTTTCTCTCCTCCCGATATCGATAGCACATTTGCCGTAAAATTAGGCATGCGGCAGACCGAGTCCGTTTGCAATTCGTGCGATTCTAAATGCAGATTTTATTATGAAAACGATAGAAAATGCCGTTTGTTAAGACGTAGTAGATGCGGAACGAAGTATTCCGCTTACGAAGGGACTTTTAAAAGTAAATTCGGCCACGTTTATTGGGGTTATAGTCAAATCCAAAACGAGACGAGACGTTGATTTTCCACAAAACGTTTATATTACGAGTAAAACATATACAGTTACAAAAGTTCACAAAACAAAACAATTACTATATTTCAGGTGTAATAAAGTTCAAATATTTTTAAGCGACAACAACAGGTCCGTCGAAAAGGACACCTTGCGACGAACTCCTTCTTCCTGAGGAAAGTCCTTAACAAATCGGTGAGCCGAAACAACTCCTTCAGCAAGTCCGCTGAAACTCTTAATGCTGGACTACGATGTCCTTTTGCTGACTCCTGGTCAACACGAGTTCTATTAGCAGGTTTAGGCGAAATTTAAAAATCCCGCTTAAACAGTTTTTATATACGGATTGGAACGAAGGCAAATCCACCAATCAAGTCCTAGTAGCTGTATCGAAAGTCCGCAGGTCGTACAATGTCTTCCAGCCAATCCGCGGTCGAGTTTCCAAGATAGCCTGATCGGCGTTCCTATGGTGACAACCGTTGTTCGTTTGAAAAGACGGAAAAGCGCGGGAAATAGTATGTCGGACGATTTTATCCCGACAGTTGTATTTTGTCATTCGTGAACTTAGAAAACCCAAAGAGAGATCCCAAATTTTTGCACAACATTTAGCTATGATCTATCCTGGGACCGGAAAAAATCGAAATGGCTCGAACCGAAAACCGTTCCTTCAGCGCCAGTGATGAATACGAAAAAGAAGGAAAACAGAAAGAAATGCAACGGAAAAAAAAGTAGCGAATCAAATCGAATAAGGGAAATCGCGAAACGACCTCTAAAAGAATGGCAGAATCGACCCGAACGGGGAAGAAAAGATCTGTAACGAACGCCGACGAATCTACGAAGAATTTACGATCGAAAAGGAAAAGTTTAAGATCGAAAAGGGGGAAAAGACCATTGACTTGAGTAAATTTATTTTATTATTATTTTTTTCCGCAGCGGCGGAGGCCGCAGCTGCCGCGTTTGCCATTTCGTTTGCACGCATACACACGTGCAAACAAGATGGCGAACGCGGCAGCGACTGAACTGGCGACCGTCGTCATGTTGGGACCTAAGGTAATATTAACTCATATGAACATGCATGAAACAATTTTAGTTAAGTTAGTTGTTTAAAATTTCTGCTCGTTTTTAAGGTTTTGCCACTATAGTTGACTAGAAAATATAAAAAAGTTATACAGTCCTTTTTACTTTTTCGGTTATGTTATACTGTATATAACAGAGGAAGTGGAATGCGATCAGTCTAAACATGACTCCTTCTGAGATTTTACAGTTTTAAACTTTGTAATGTTGAAAAATGAAACAAATGTGGGTTCTTGTGTGTGTATGGATGTTCGTGTGTGCGGAGTGACGACGATTTTCTTCATTCTCTGAAGCTTCATAACTTCAATAAATTTTGTCGAAAATTTACATATTAATAAAAAAGCAACTCTCAGGAAGATGGTTAATCCCTCATCAGGCTAACCAAGGGGAACTCGCGTATGTCAGTGGTGGCGTAGGAGACAGAAAATACAAGTGATTTTATAAAACTGTTTATTGTAACAAAGGTTGCACTTTCATATAAAAATAAGTCTTTCGTGATAAAGACATGGGCTTATTTATTGCTGGTCGAGTTGGATTAGCATAGCTTGTTCATAGCATTGTTCATAGCATGTTTCACTATGCTGCTTCCCTGGCGCTGCTTTGGTAGCAGCATAGTGAAAAATAATAAGAATAAAAAGTTTATACCAAAGAAACAGAACAAACATATTTATTGACAATAACAAATCTAATCATATTTAATGCCATGCAGGTGTTAGACAGGATTGTCCCTGTTCAATGGTTCTCTTTACAATTTATATAGAAGCCCCGCTTAAAATGATCATAAACGACAAATTATTAACACCAATTTGCATACCAGGTATGATGAAACAAGTCAATATATAGCACACGTTGATGACATTAATTTCTTTATAACGGATAAAGAAGCTTTAAACAGAATTAATCAAAAAATTAAAATATTCAGTGGTCTAACCAATATGAAAAGAAACGAATCCAAAAGTAAACTTATTAACATCTGTGGGAACCTCTTCAATGAAAATATGAACATACAGATTGTAGACAACATAAAAATATTAGGTGTATAGTTTGGAAAGAATAATAAAAAATATAATGTAAAGGAAATGAATCAAAAAATTAATAATGCTATACAAAATTGGAAAAACACATGGTTGTTTCTTCCAGAAGGTGTAATCATATCTAATAAAGTACTGATTGCAAGAATAATGTATAATTTTTATGTTACCAATCTGACTAAACATTACTCTAAAATTATTAATAGATTGATTTTTCACTTTATCTGGAATAAAAAGTACGAATCATTAAATAGAAATATCAATACTATGCAAGGATGAAAAAATATATAAAAAATTAATGATTTAGAATGTTGTTTACAGATAGTAAATTTAATTAATTCTATGACGAAAAATAATCGTCCGCTCTCAGACATAACACAATAAATCTTGGGTCCATTAACTAAAAGAATCACAATCATTAAAGGAAACTTTCCATTCCTTATAGACAATAACAAGTGTTTTAAAAAATGAAGAGAAATAGTGACAACTCTCCTGAATAATGATCGTCTCACTAATGAAATAAAACCCTCTTTTATATATAAAAACATTTACAAAAAAGCTCGAATGCTAGACATTTAACATGCTAGATAATAAGTTTACTAGAAACTTGATAGAAGAATGGTCCAATGTGGACATGTTAGCGGCAAAATGGAAAGAAACGGCATGACGAATTCTCAACGAAATTACAACTTTTACAACTGTCAAAAACAAAGAGATAAAAGCTGCGTTAGATGTGGTAGAGACGAAGACACCTTTCATATCTTTTATGATTGTAAGATAGCAAACATACATGGTTTCGGATAAACAAATTATTTAAAACTTCGATCTCTTGGCAAAATATAACGTACCATATTAACTCTCCAGTAAGAAACCAAAATAAGTACTTAATAAATTGGATGATAGCCCTTACAAAAAGGAAATTCTATGGAAAGCTAGGTGTGCTTTTCTGTTTGATAGCAAGAAAAATTAGAGAAGAAGATAGTCGTAAAATAAAAATGGATAAAAAAACTCTAAGTGAAAAAAGTTAAAATAAATTTTAACAAATTATATTTCGGAACTGAAAATGTAATATGGAAAGCAATAAATAATAATATAGAGTTTAATGATTAATGGACGATAAGTAGGAATGTAAACACTTAAGTTAAATAGTGATGAAGTACTAAGAATTTTGCTGATAGAAAAGTACTTTAAATACAATAGATTATATAACAATATAATGGAAACATAGTTACAACCTATATTTTAGCTGTATATGTAACATTCAAAGAATATATAATGTAAAATGTCAAGTCATAAGTTCAAATTACCTCAGCATGTAAATTTATTATCATTACACTACCCATGCTATAAACAAAATATTGTTCATATCAACACTATGGAACGATTATTTTGTAAAGTAAATGGTTAATATTCCAAAAGTTTTGAATTATGATTATTACAATACCCGTGCTGTAAATATTAATATAATAATACTCACACCAATACTGTAGAATATTTATTATGTCAGATTTTTGTTTGTTTCAAAGTAAATGAATTTAATGTACACAGTAGATATTATTGATAAAAGAGATTTAAATTGTTATTCGGCAATAAAATAGCACATATAAACCATGTAAATAGTGTATATATTTGTCTACCTAAGGATGCTGTGGGAATCCAAGAATGAATATATATTATCATTTAAATTGTCGGAGAAAAAAATTTTGCTACAATAAAAATGTATGGCATGTAGTGTACAGTTGATATGACTACCAAAGCGTAGATGTGTAAAACTGAATGTTTCTAATAAACCTTTATTTAACATCAGCATCTGTTGCAGGTACGTTTTAAAAAGGTGAATTCATTGAGAGAGACAAGGATGACAGACTTAGAGAAAGAAGTTTATGTTGACGATCACGAAGACCACGACTAAGAGCCGCCGAAAACTACAGGATGCGAGAGAGAGCGTACGCTCGCTCGTGCTCCTAAGCCCCGCCTTATTTCCCATGATGCTATGAGCCATTTTTGCTAGGTAAGCTACGCGAGCACGAAGCAGCCGCAAACTACACAACCTTTGCTCGCGTAAAAATGCTGCATCATGGGAGATTAGCGACTAGTGTTGCCACCATACCGGTTTTTAAATTTATGGTTCGGATTAATTATTAATTTGTCCCGTTTTCGTAGAAATTGTAAAATTATANTTTCTTTATTTTGATTTTCTAGATATGTTGATGTTGGCACACAAGGTAGGATCAGCGATGGAGGTGTGTGGAACAAATGCAACTTAAAGGAGCTTATAGATGTAAATGCTCTTGACATACCTCCAGCTCATCCGCTTCCAGGTCAAGACATAGTCACACCATATGTCTTCTTAGCCGATGATGCTTTTGGCTTGAAACCGTATATCCTGAAACCTTATGGTGGAAGTGATTTGACTCTGGAAGAACGGATATGCAATTACAGGTAAGCATTCAGTGGCTAATGCAACTGCATCTTGCAGCATTATACCAGTAGGAAAAGGGTAGATGGTATAATAAAAAAAAAACCGTGTGATCTTGGAAAATTGATAGAGCAATAGTTGGATTAAACATATCTTTTAATTGTTTTTAGAATTTCACGTGGCCGCCAAGTAGTGGAGACAGCTTTTGGAATTTTTTCAAACAGACTACGGGTGTTCCTGAACCCCATACTGTTGCAGCCAGACAAAGTGCGCACATTAGTACTTGCTGGTTGTGCGCTTCACAACTTTTTAAGGAGCCATGAAAACACAGCATCATGGCCAGTCGATTATGTGGACAGAGAAAATGTGGAAACCGGTTTCACTGTGCCTGGTGCATGGAGGAGTGAGATTCCTGTACAGCCTGGGACAGATATACATCTTCCACAAGTGGCCAGAACCTACTCCAACTTTTACAGCTCAGAGGCAAAAGCTGTAAGGGTAACTTTAAAGAATTTTTCATGTCCGATGTTGGTGCTGTTTACTGGCAACTTCGTTTTGTGTAGCTATTATGTACAATTGAAAGAATTAAGAATAATGTAATAAAACAAACATTTATTAAACATAATATAATAAAACAAACATTTATTGTTTTAAAAATTGGCCCTTGATTGTTTATAATATTTGAGCAAAATGCCCTGTATTTCGTATTTTGCTTCTTCCCGCAAGTCTTCATTAATTTTCATTAAACTGAGGGCGACGTGATTGCCAAAATTTTGTTCTATACATGCTGGGGGGTTGCTGGGCTTGTTTGCCAGGTAATCCACAGCCCTTTTGTACAGCTCGGAATTGAGAGAGGGAGATGACACATGCGATGTCTTCTGTCTCTTTCTTTTCTCTCGTCTGTCAACTGTAACTTCATCATCCATCGGATGGGGACTAGACGGCTGGCTGTTTGATGTTGATGTCGATGTTGTTGGCATTACTGAGTGAATTCCTGAGATAGAGCTACTTGCTGGAGTATTTGGTTCCATGGTTTTATTAATTGCGAAAGATAGCTCTTGGAACTCACTTCCTTCAATACACATCGAGTCTTCTCTTTCTGTATCTATGGGTTGACTACACTTGTCCTGAAATCAAAACCAGCATTGCATTATTAATTAATTAAGGCATGTGCACAACATGTTGTAGTGTACATGTCTAATGACCATGTTAGAATGTGACATTCATATATCAAATCATCCATAACTGGTACAAGGCAACAATCAATGTTCTAGGTAAGCAACTATACTGTTGCCACCATCATACCACATTTATGTGGCCAACATTATGTTTGCACTTACATTTTCAAGTGAGGTGCTGAGGCTGATGGTATCCTCACTTTTATCTGCCTGCATGGAGTCCCTCAGGTAACCCATCTGGTCGAAATGCAGAAATCTGATTTTGTGCATATTATTAATGCCCACTCCAGATGACTTTGATTTCTGCAGCTTTAATAGTTCCCTCTTATATGCATCTTTCATAAGCTTAAATTTTTGGCTAAGGATCTTGTTGGCTGCAAATTATAATGGAAATGTTTAAGTTGTTATTTTCACTTTGCTAAACAATCAGTTTGAAAATTGGGATATGACTGAATAGATTATAGCCTATTACATCATACATGTATATTGGCTACTGTATCATATACATTTATGTAAGCATATAATTTGGAAATGCTGCTATCACTGTGACAAACATGCCTTGTGTATGCAAGATACTATATAGGCTATAATTTATTTCTGACATCTTCTAAACATAATTGCAATGATTTTAAATTACAGTCTGTTACAAAAGTATAGGAACACTATAAATTTTGTGTTTTCTCAAAATTTATTTTGAAATTATTACTGGAAATATTATTATTTATATCATTATTTTAATTATTTTATCAGGTTTTTTACATTTCATAAATCAGCATACATTTTTTTTCACAAATATTCATTTTTTGATGTGTTTTACAAAAGTATAAATACACCATTTAAAAGTCTCCTAAAAAATTATTTTATCATAATAATATTTAAAATTATCACAACTAAGGTGAGATGTCATCATTTTTACCTGTCATGGTAACTTTTTTGAATGTTTCATTGAATGTTATATAAACATTTTCAATAATGCCTCGTAGAACTGTACTTCAGGAGCATTAAATACATAAAATTTATTATTTGAGTGGCTCAGGCAAATTCCAAATAACTAATAAAAACATGTCAACAAGTCAAGCTGCTGCTGGATTACCAGTAGATGTATCTCCTGCGACTGTTTGGAGAACTTTAAAAAACAATGACAACGTAAAATATTTAAAAATGAAGTTGAAACCACCTTTAACTGCCAAACACAAATGAATGCATTTAAACTGGGCTAAAGACGAGACGAGATGGACTGAATGGCAAGAAATAATGTTTAGTGATGAGAAGTTTAATTTAGATGGCTCTGATGAGTTTTCATATTATTGGCATGTTTTAAGAAGAGAAAGCATTTAAATTAAATTTAAAAATTAATTTTATGTAATTTTAGAAAGTGTACCTATACTTTTGTAACAAGTAAAGTGAAAAACTGTAATAACTTCTATTATATTATTGTTAAAAAATAAAAAGCTTTGAAAATGATATTTTTGTAATTGTTTTAAAACATATAAAACAGTTTTCTATTAAAAAAATTTAAATAGATTTAAAAAAAACACAAAATTTGTGGTGATCCTATACTTTTGTAACAGACTGTATTGTTTTACTAATTGAGCAAATTAAACCAAATTGTATTACTAAATATACTAGCCCACAACAAATAAAATGTAGTCTACTTACAAGTGATGTTGATTCCATGTTCAGAAGCTAAAAGCTCTCTTAATTGTGTCAGTGTGGAATCCCTCTTGTTTTTTTTGTAATAATCCTCATGACGTGGATTCCACAGATGTGGATTGGCTATAGAAAAAGATTTTATTATAACCTATACTTGTAATCAGTCAGTTTTCGTTCCGAACTTTGAAACAGCATAGGAAAAACATGCCTACTAGTTAAGCCTAACTAGGCTTAACTAGCCGAAAACTATTTTTATACAAAGTTTATACTATTTTCTTTTCAATACTGAATGTATTAATCATGTAATTTACTTACATCGATAAAATTCTATAATTTCTTTTTCGATATGCGACATGTTTATGTTGTCATCCATTTTTCCTGTCCTCTCTTGCTAGCGTAAATACTCTAGTTGTTGAAATATCTGAACAGCGAGCGTACTCTCGTATCGCTGCGCTAGCGAAGGAAAAACAGCGTGGGCAAGAAGACATGGGCGGAGCCTTCGACGTCATCGGTTGTCTAGCGCACGTTTGCTAGCGTGTTTGCTCTCGCAAAGCCCTAGTTTGCGGCGGCTCTTATGCACTGCAACATCCGCAATCATCCACGTATCAGTAGGAGCCTGTTACAGTGGTCGAGATATATACATTTCTGGCTATCTGTATCTTGTAGGGAATTTTTAAAAAACCGGTTGAGAGGATGTATTGGTCCACGAATGATTTATTTAGCACACCAATTTTTCCTAAACTTATGTCTAAAAATAATTTGCAGAGATTAACAAAATTTGCACTTCACGGATAATGCATCATTTGATCTGTCCACCCATCCAACTCCTAAATTGAACAAAATTTTAGCTTTAGTAAATGATCTAAATTCTAAATTTTCGAGTTTATACGAACCAGATACAGATATAACTGTGGACGAGTCTCTCTTACTATTTCCTAGAGATAATACATATCTCTCAAACGGTCACGTTACGGTGTGCAATTCTTTATGTTATGTGAATCCTCATTACGATATCTATACAAATTCATAATTTACACCGGAAAAAATACTATACTGGTTAATAAAGTTTATTCAGAACTATTACTTGTTACAAATCAGCAACATGATGAGCAGCAGAAATCCTTGTGCATTGTTTCTGGTGACGTATACATTAATTAAATAATTAATAACAAGACAATAAATTTTGGCATGGCCATAATACCCAAGAATATTTACAGTAGTAAGATATATACAATTATATACAAGGTGATTATTATGAGGAAAAAGTATACAGAACAAGCGCAAATAAAAATAGTTAAATAATATTTTTATACTGAGTATAGATATTAAGTGAGTTATAAAAGAAACTATTTACAGCATTAATATTTCGGCATTCACATTTTACAAACATTGGCACTTATAATTACAGAAAAATTCATATAAAAACTGTACAAGTACGAGTTATTATAAAATAGATTTGATACAAAGGTTACATAATTATACAGAAATAATTTTATGAATATAGCAGTTAAAATAAAAGTTTTTATTTTTTACATACAAAGGCGTAGGTGATTACAATTGCAGTCGAATCAGAAGTAGTTTTATTGCCACTGATCATTAAATACAAATTTATTATTAACATTTTTCCATATAATATTTTCAGTGCCAAAGTGTATAGCGCGTTGTGTTCCCTTTGAGAAAAGTTTTTATAGTCAGCTTTTAGTTTGAAGTTTGCCTCATCACGAATTTTATTTATTACAAAAGTTGCATTTGATTTTTTATTTTCAAAAATAAGGGGCATCTCGCTTTCCAGATGACCCTCTTTGCCAAAGCAGTAACCCAATTAATTAAGTAATTATTTTGATTTTTAACAGGGAAATTAGAGTGGAACTTTACGTTTTGCCAAGAGATACAAATATTAAAAATTTTGTCTACCCAGTGCCAAGTTTTCTCAGCGATGTGGCACTCAAAAAATATGTGATAGATTTTCTCATTGTGATCACACCGAGGACAATGAGCAGTACTTACACGCTGGTAGGTGTGAAGATACTCCGTAGTCATCACGGTGTTCAAAATTTTCTACGTGAGTTCTCTCCACTCAGCAGGGAGCCTCCCAACATTTACCCAGGTCTCATTCCAATTGATCGTAATATCTATGAGATTTTTGTTCATACTTTGCTTATGAATGTTCGTGTAGATCAGTTTAGTATTCCGCAACCAGTGTGTCGTCACAAGGTGAAAGGTGTGACGTGAACTTTTACATGATTCTATTAATTTCAGGCTTTATATATTTTTATCATAGTTGTTGTGTTTCTTATGCTTCTATTTCATTCGCTGTACTCCAGTTTTTAAAACGATTCATGTCCATCAGTATCAGATGTTTCTCCTACTGTTAGAGGTATTTGCGAGTTGCTGCATTGCTTCAAACGTTCACAATCACTAGTTTCTTTTAATATTTATATGTTATACATGAAACGTAATATGCTCTCATGATGTTTAAGTGCCTCAAATCTAGGTTGGCAGCTTGCTCGCACATTGTCGACAATGACATAAAAATAGTTCATTTTGAAAATCTCTTTCGCAGGCAATTTAAGAGCTTCATCTTCTCTGTCATAATCAAAATTCGGTCTTATACGTCTTGTTCTCACCACTTTGAACTTTCTGTGAATATCATTTTCCTCGGCTATTTCTCTCGCTGTTTCCAAAGATGATTAGAAACCATTTTCCGATAAGTATCAAGCCTATGTGTAAATGCGTCTAAATGTATTGTCGCTTCTAAATGCATTTTTCACTCTGCCACATTTATAACATTTATCTTTGTAACANTATACGTCTTGTTCTCACCACTTTGAACTTTCTGTGAATATCATTTTCCTCGGCTATTTCTCTCGCTGTTTCCAAAGATGATTAGAAACCATTTTCCGATAAGTATCAAGCCTATGTGTAAATGCGTCTAAATGTATTGTCGCTTCTAAATGCATTTTTCACTCTGCCACATTTATAACATTTATCTTTGTAACAATGTCATACCATACGACGACAGCAGCTACAAATTCGTAGATAGTTATTTTCTTTTCTATAGAATGGCATTCACTAACCAACTGACAATCTGTTGTATTTTCTGCTAAATCCTTCAAAGCATCACATATATTTTAACGGCCTTCTCCGACTCTACCCTGCATTCCCATCTAGTTTCGGAAAGTGGTTTTAGCGATAAGGATTTTACATGTGCTTTTAAAATAGCCTATCTGACTCGAGCCGGCAAACATAGTGTACAATGTATGTAGCAAACCAAAAACAGATTTTGCTTGAACACAATAGGATGCTGCATCTCCTAGGATGAGATTCCAGCTGTGACTCCCACAAGGTAAAAAGTAAGCAAGTGAATTAATTTCAAGTATACGTTTCTGGACACGATTTTTTTCTCTACGCATATTGGTTCCATTGTCATATCCTTGGCCTCTGCAGTTTTGCAATGATATACCCAGCTGTTCTAGCTCTGTGATTATATAATTAGTCAAACTCTCAGCTGTGCATTTTTTGACGGCTAAGAAGCCAATAAAATGTATTTCAATGTCAGCTGTATTTTTATTAAAAAATCTTATAATAATGAACAGTTGTTCAACACGAGAAACATCACGAGTACAATCAAGAATAATCGAGTAATATTTATTCTTTATTATTTTGTCAACAACTCGAGTTTTCACGTGACTTGCCATTAATTGTATAAGCTCATTTTGAACATTTTTTCCGAGATAGTTGTCATTAATCGTCTTGTCTGTTACTTGCTTTTGGTGACATCGCAACATTGGATCAAATCGTGTTATTAACTTCACTAAATCTATAAAGTTACCGCTAGTCTCACTTGAATCTGAGTCAGTTAATTTCTCTTTACGACCTCTAAAGGCCAAATTGTGAGATGCTAAAAATTTACAATTGCAAGTAGTCTTTCTAAAATAACTCTCCAACGCTGCCTTTCTTGTTCAATTTGAGTCTGGGCTAAATAGTCAATAGTGGTACAGCTTTTTAACCCATTCTCTAAATTTAACCATTTCAACATACAACCTTTGTGCAACGGCTAGATTCGTGAGCCTTTAGGTAATCACCCAAGTGTTTCCGATCACACACTTCATCACTGGATCCAATTCTTGTATTTTCTAGTCCAAACATTTGACACGGAAAGCAGTAAACGGCACCCTTTGTTTGTGAATATATCATCCAGCGCCGGTCAAGTTTTTCACCATTAGCTAATATTTTACTGTAATGATATTCTCCGAATCGCCGTCTATTATCATTTACGGGGAAAAAATCAACTTTAACCAGGATTGGACTTTTTAATACAATCTCAATTTGGTTTACATCAGTGATTGTTAATGTCCACAAACTTGGGTCAGTTTGAGGATTCAGATTTTCACTTCTACCAGTCATGGATGTAGACATAGACTCAGATACGTATTCATGGCTGGATAGTGTTGGCAGTGGTGGTGGTGTAAGAGACAATAATGTTGTTGACCAGTGTTGCCGTTCCTAGTACATTTGTAGTATTCTGGTACATTTTACCCTTTCCAGTAAATTGAAAGTACATTTAGATTTTTAGTACAATTTCAGTACATTATAATATTTCAAGTACAATTTCAGTACAAATTAATATTTCACGCCTTAACGAAAAAACGAGAAAACATTAGTTTAATAAAGTCTCACTAGTGTCACTGCTTGCTAATTTAAATTATCCAATCACAACATACAAATGGTGTGTGTCCGTCGACGTCAGCAACATAGATAGTTGCACGTGTAAACGGTCTTGACTCAGTGGTCTTCTTTCACACGTTCAGTTGTCTGCACATTCTCATCAGGACCTTGACAAAATTTTTCATGCCACGTGGTCCAAACAATTCAACTCCGTCAAACAAAAATAATGGACAGGTAAGGAAATCAATGATTTTAAACTTTTGTCGTCAATAATATCAAAATATCCGTTAAGTCAGAAACAAATTATTACAGAAAATAGTTTTGAAATTGTACGAGTATAAATAATATAAATACTTTTATATTATTTTCTACCACTATAATTTAATTCTTAAATTATGAACTTCAATTTTAGTAATCGTAGTAAAAGAAATAAGGGTTAATGTTACGTATGGTTCCAAAATGGCCGCGCTTCCGACTGTTCCAAGGTCTATATAAGAAGATCAGGACACGCGTGATCTACTTCTTGAGCTGCCATTTTGGGGTTTTTTGAGTTGCATGTTTTAAGCAAACTTGTACGAGCAGTCAGTTTTATATGACATTAATTAAACTAAAATTGCATAAATCCTGTAATTTCCAGTCAAAAATATAATAATAATTTCGGATGATTATGCAACCCCAATTTTATGTAACGTTTTCATCAAATAGTTTAAAAGAAACAAGCATCCTTATCTTTTGCTGTCATGATTGAAATTAATTAAATAGGTACTAAAACTGATGCAATTACGTATATACCACTTCGTAAAGTGATGCAATAACATCAAAAAAATTTAAAGTATAATAAAGAATAAAATAATATAACAAATTTATAATTATTTTTTTAAAGCACGATTGGTTATAAAATTAAGATGAAATTCAATAGTATTATTAATAAATGTTGTCAATGTAATGCTCATTTTATAATAAGTAATAGATGTGTAGATATATTTTTAATTTTAAATAGCTTTCAAAAAATTCCAAAAATAAGATTTAAAATTAAATTATTTGACAATAAACTATATATACATAAATTACGTGCTTATATATATAGGCACGTAAACAAAGTATTCATAGAACTAGTACATTTTGAAGAAAAATAGTACATTTTTTGAAGGCGCTTCAGTACGTTTTGAAATTTTATTGCGCCAACACTGTTGTTGACTCATTATCTTCGCTATTATTACTAGGTGGCAGCGGCACCAATGACGCTGTTGAAGGAATAATGTCAGCTGAATTAGGGTTACAGTGCAATAATGTGTCACTTTCTGTCAATGAACAGTTTTTAGAAGTTTCTTAACCATCACTTTTTATATATTTATATAAAGACCCACGTAGATTTGCTTCTACCTGTTTTTTATAGCTTGTTTCCTTTTGATTGCTTGTTTCCTTTTTGAACTACCCGACTCAAATTTTCTATCGGCATCACGATCACGCGAACTCATTTCATAAATTTTGTTTCGCACATAAGAATAACTCAGAAATTATTTACAGGTAGTTTTATACAGATTTTTTTTAAACAATTCACTGTTTACCATAAATACTATTAATAATGTAAGATTCACTAAAACTTCATATCATTTGATGTTTATTTACCTACTGAAAGATATGTGCTATAGAAACGATTATGTAACGCATACAGCTGATAGCAAAATAAGCGTCGGGTGACAAGAGTTAATGAACGAAATGAAACACAGGGATTCCCCGAGCGTAAATCGTAAACGCCACGAATCACAAAAGTAACAAAACCGCGAGTTCAAGTGGGATTTGTAATGCGCGAGGCGCAGGTTTCAAATAGTAATAAATTTTTCAAATATGTTTTATAGTCAAATTACAAAAATTATTATTATTCACTGATAAATTAATTAATTTTGATATCGTTAAATTAATCTTTCTTTTAATACGAATGTGAGATTGAATAAATCTAAATGAGAAATTTTATTTAGGCACTTATTAATAATAATATGTACTGTACTATGAATTAATCAAATTCAATTTATTGTCAAAACGAATAGCTAAGGATAAAATATAAAGTTTTAAATATCAACTTTCTTCTACTCGGGTTGTTGCGCGAGGACCCGGTGGATTGCCCTGCTTGCCACTCCCTAAGGCCGCCTCTGAGTGGCGGTTACTGAGGCTGAGTGGTTCTTATTCGTCACACAGAGTAATCGGTGGAATTATATTTAATTATATTGAACAGTTAATTACAATAATTAATTTATATCTGTTTTCATTAATTATTCTAATGTGAGAAACCGCAGGTTCTAGGAATTGTTCTTAGGAACCANTTAATAATAACATGTACTGTACTATGAATTAATCAAATTCAATTTGTTGTTATAACTAATTGCTAAGGATATAATATAAAATTTTAAATATCAACTTTTTTCTACTCGGGTTGTTGTGCGATGACCCGGTGGATTGCTCTGGTCGCCACTCCCTAATACCCCGTTCGCACACAATCCACGACTCACTTCGATCTCGATTTACTCACAATCTGGATTGTGACTGTCGCCAATGAAACGTCGTGCTGTTCGCACAGGTAACTCGCTTGAGAAGAACCCGGCTATTACACGCGATGATAAAATTGACATAACTACGCGATAAGTCACGAACAGTGCTGCCGTTTCTAGGGTAAAGGTCAATTAAGTGAACAGCTTATTTAATTAATTTTTGATCTCCATATCAGATGTGAATTAATACCTCTGATAAAATCTAATAAGACATTTTAGTTATTAAGATTTTTAAAAACAATGAATTAAGAATTGTTCTGATTATTATTTCACGATAATCGTTCGTCTTATGTTTTTTATCCGAGCGTGAGCTCGATGATGGTCGAGCTCGGAGAGTTTTCTCAGTTTTTATGGTAAATTTAGGGCGCTGTTGAGGTAGTTCCACTAGAAGCAGGCGGCAGCACTGGTCACGAACAAAAACAAAGAAAATACCCAAGCCCAACGATTACGATAAGACAAAGATGAAGACAAAGAAAATGGAAGCTAATAACAAAGATGCGTTACTGGTAGGTCTATATGCAGCAAAGTTAATAGACATTCGCAATCAAATGACTGCAAACAGAAATCGTTTAAGTCATTTGATCAACATACGTCGTAGTATGAAGAAGAGGAACCAAGACATTAAGATTTTGCTAAGTAATGTATTGCAGAATCGTGCCTCACCAAGTTGTTGGTCATATCCAAAAGGCAGAGACTAGTGGACAACTGTTGTAAAAGCATGGACTCCAGCAAAATGGAAGGAGAATTTCCGAGTTTCTCAAGAAACATTTTAATTTCTGTGTGCAAACTTTAAGGAAATGGAGCGCCTAGATACAAACTATAGAAAATGCATTCCATTGGATAAGAGAATTGCGATAGCTCTATACACACTGTCTTCCACAGCGGAATTTCGGAGTATTGCAAACTTGTTTGGAGTAGGCAAGACATCAGTTTTCGAAACATTGCACGAGTTATGCAACCTGCTGATCGAAAAGCTAGACTCAAAAATAATGTTTCCTGGAACAACAAAAGAGTTGTTAAAAAAGCCGAAGAATTTGAGAATTTATGGCAATTTCCGCAGTGTATCGGAGCGATTGATGGGACTCATATTAAAGTCAGTCCACCAAAGAAACATGCAGTTGATTACTATAACTACAAAAGCTTTTATAGTGTTGTACTGCTGGCAATATGTGATGCAAAATACAAGTTTACCTATGTCAATGTTGGTGCACCTGGGAGGAATAACGACTCCCACGTGTTTCAAAACAGTGGAATCTATCAAATATTCAATGTGTTCACTTTGTATAGTGAACTGAGAAAAAGTTATAATGGGGTTAATGTACCTCTACTTTTATTAGGTGACTCAGCATTTCCACTTATGCCTATCTTAATGAAGCCATTTACTGACAGTGCTGATTTGCCCAATGAGAAAAAGCAATTCAACTACCATTTGTCTCGAGCCAGAAGAGTTGTGGAAAATGCATTTGGTCGTCTAAAGGCACGGTTCAGATTCATCAGCAGAAGATTAGAACTAAACCTAAATAATGTATCATTCCTAAATCGGGCTTGTTGCATCCTACATGACATATGTGAAGAACTAAATGATAACATACATGATGATTGGTTAAATCAGCTGCAACATGAGACTACTGTCAATTCTGCTCCCACAGTAGTAGGGGAATATGATCACTCAGCACAAGAAATTAGAAATGCACTTGTCATGTACTTTAACAACTAAGATAAGATTTATTTACTTACACAAACCAAAAATGAATAATTCAGATTTTATTTCATATCATTAATCAACAATAAACACATTTTGTAAAAAAATGATTGAGTTTGGAAACAATAAGAAGATGTGTAATGAATACAATGTTGTTGTAAATCAAATGTAAAATTATTCCATACATTAACCCCATGTAACCCCTCTGTAACGGGGAAATTATTTTCATTTGTTAATAAAGATTGATGATGATAATAAACATTTTGTTTACTTGTTCTTATTTACAAGAGCAGCAATTAAATTCTTTTTGTAAATTTAAACTCTGGCGAAAAAGGCTATTTTGATCTTTAAATAAAGTTAATATTTGGTTATCGACCTCTCTCGTTTCCTCATGCTGTCTTTGAACAAGTTGTAATAGTTCAACAACATGGCTAGTTTTCTGCTTTTTATTTCGATGCCTGCTTTCTTCAAATCTCTTTGTTGGAGCACTCTGTGAATATGAGGTGCTTGCAGTAGGTGATGATGTACTTAGGTCTAGTACAGGTTCTTCAGATTTGGAAACAGCATATGTAGCCTCTGCAGTACCTGTAATATTGTAAATAAGTTTGTAAATAAGAGATAAGAGCATATTAAGTACAAAAAACAGTTACAATTACAATGCTGGGTATATCGTCCTGAAATACGCAAATAAGGTTGCACGGTTTAAAACACCTAGCTAGCATCAAGTTCAACAATTCTGTACATTCATGTCAGTATGACAGTTTTTTAAATTTTTAATTAATTTTTTTGTATACTATAGTAGCTCTGACTTGTGAGCTATAAAACAGTTAAACTGAATGTGCTAAAAGGTAGTAGCTTTTGGATAAGTTTTCAGGACCCAGACAACTTACCTAATACGACTAAATTTTCATCTTGTATGTTGACTGTATTCATATAATTTATGCCTGAATTTAAAATTGGCAGTGTTGATTCCTGCATCAAGCTTGTGTTATTAATAGGCAAGCATCCTAATATTTCATGAGTTCATTCAAAAAATTTCCAAGTGGAGGGTTGCCCACCACTAGGACCAACTGCAATTTTTTCTCTGCTAAATAAAAGAAAAGAAAAAAATTAGGTAATTATGCAGTTTTAATATTTATCATAAAATAATATAATTTACAGTGGTGTGAAAAAATATTAGAATACTATTGAAATAATGTGCTTTTCTGCATTACATTGAATGTTGTGCTAAATTTTTGTAACCACTGTATATTTATTAATAGTTATATAATTAAAGCTGCACACCTATCTAGTTCTAGCTCAGTTCCAGAAACGAATAATGTAATCAGAGTATTAAATCTGACAAAAAGTCATTAATTTTCAAATTGTAAATGTCACTAATAATATATATATATATACATACATACTTTCAAATTTTCTGATAAAATGTAATAAAAAAAATATTGCATGTAAAACTAGAAATATTAATAAATATGTGATTTTTTTCACATGAATATAATAATAATTCGATTTTTGCTAAATTTTTAAAATAACAACGTTGCCTGGGTGACTTTGACTGACCTATATTGACCTTGGTTACTCTCAAAATGTGTTAACCGGAAGTCGGTTAGGCAAGGGTTAATGGCATTTTTAAAATTTTAATGGGTGCGTTTACTTTTTTCAGGCTTCCAAGCTCGCCAAGCTGACACCTAGCGC